ATTCCTGACCACCTCTCAAAGCCCTAAGGGTTCAGCTGTGTAGCGGGGAACCTCTGTTCATTTTGTCATTGGAGGAAAATGGAGACCCTGGCGATAATGAACATCTTACTCAGAGTCACAAAGCAGGTTATAAACTGAGCCAAGACTGGAACCCAGATCAGGGACCCTCCTCCATCACACAGCATTAGGTAGGTCCCAGAGTCCCAACTTCCATGACCATGTGGTGTCCACATGCCCATAACCGGCTGGATGGACCATTAAAGATGACCTGTTTCTGCCCTGGCAAACATGCAGTCATTCCGCTCTCCCTTGCTGAACCATAGCAGACATCAGTAATCAATCTTGTCCTCCAAGCCCAGGACTGCCTGGGAGGGCTTCTCCGCAGAAGGCTCCATCCAGACCCTACAATTAATGAGGTGGATTAGAGATCACAGTTCTTAGAGTCTCTAACATGGTCCTGGACGTGAAGTCGAGGTTTAGTTGAGGTTTAGATTGAGGAACCACAATCCCAAAGACTATACACCAGGTACCAAGGGAGCCAGAATTTGTAGACAGATGTCTACTGGAAGTCTGAGCCCATCTAGCTCATGTGGTCTTTCTAGCAAACAGAATAAGAAATGTTGTTGCCAATGATTAAGCATAAAGCATATGGGATGTTTAATCTCTTCACTTCATTGTCTCCATAACCCTGTGCAGTGGGGTCTTGTAAAGATAGGAGATCTGAGGTGGAGGGGTGAAGTGATCAGACACTAGGAATAATTATAATATCATCATCACTGTTGTAACCATGTATCAGGGGCCTGCCTACATTATCCAATTGCATTTTCACAGCAAACTTTAGAGAATCCGGAGTGGGTTGCCATGCCCTCCCCCAAAGATCTTCCCGACCCAGGGATTGAACCCACGACTCTTACTCCTCCCACACTGGCCGGAGGGGTCTTTACCACTAACACTACCTGGGAAGCACAGAGAGTCCCATATGTAGTCTCATTTCACAGAGAAGATACCTGAGACTCACGGAGATGAGCTGCTTGTTCAGACCACATATCCAGCAACAGGAAAAGAGGATTCGAACCCAGTCTGCCCAAACCTAGAGCTGAGGTCTGAGCTCACTGTATCCTCTGTATCTTCTGTGTCCTTTTAGCCATGGGGATCCAGGCACCAGGTGTTTTAGCCATTTATAAAGGGGCAGCTAAAGGCTGGAGCCAACACCCAGTCTGAATTACTTACATCACTCTCCAACCCCTGGGCTGTGGTCCTGAGGCCAAAAATTCTCTTTACCAGATTTTCCCACAGTCCTCTCATCTGTCCCCACTCCAAGGGAATAAGAACCTCTGATGTTTGCAGAACTGGCACAGACAGCAGGGAGAGTGGTCTGCTGACAGGTTCAAGGTTCTGCTGCATGGGGTCCTCCATATCCCATCCCAAAACTTGGGCACCTGGGCTGCCACCTTCTCCCTGCTCTGTGCTCTGAAGACAGGACCGCAGTCAGGGTGAGGAAAGCTATCTCCTCAAACCTCCAGCCCCACCCCTTCTTTGTCCTGGCCGCATTCATCAGGTTCCTACTGATGCAGGTTGGGACTGGAGGAGACGGACCCTGGATGACCTGGAGCTCTCTAATGGTGCTCCCAGCCTGATGCCAAGTGGGCACCCATCTGTGCGTTCTGGACAGGGTGTTCCGGGTTGACAGGAGCCCAATACATCAGGCATAACAACCAACTTAAACAGCAGAGGTCAAGAAATAGAAAGGGTATTCAAGCCTAAGACCCTCCTGCCACACAAGCTGGCCTTGATGTGATCTGAGTAAAACGTTCTACCCTTTGGGCCCAAATGCTGGGCCCTGTCCTTGTGAAACCTGTCCTTGTTCTGAGACCTGGGCCAGTCACTTCACTTCCCTGAACTTCGGTATCCTAAGTTGGAAAAGGGGATTTTCCCTGCCTCCTTAGTGAGTTGTCATGAGCACCAGTGGTGCAAGTGGACCTGCAGTGCCAAGCCTAGGGCAAGTTGGGGTCAATGACTGTGACTCATTGTTACTTCCAGCGGCTGTGAGCTGGAATAGCCAATCTCGATGGTAGAGGATGCAGAACTGGGAACACTCTCCAGCTCTGCCCCTTCCCATCTTTTGACCTTGACTAAGTCATCCTCTGTGTCTGAGCATCACATCCCTCAGCCAAGAAATGAGGGCAGTAACACCCCCTGCCTGGTTCCCCTTGTTATGAAATGAGGTGAAGCAGGATTAGCAGGTAGGAATGTGAGGGTCTAGGCAGACCTGGAGTTCCAGTAACAGGCAGGGAAGGGAAGGGGACCACGTCAGTCACAGATCTTAGAGCTCAAGTTCAAAAGTACCTTTGGGCCATCTGTCCAGTCATTTGCATTTCTAGCCAGACCTTCTAGGGTCAGACTATTCAGGAACCCCAGACCCTAAGTATCTAGGAAGGGGCTCAGGCATCTAACGTTTAAGCAAACTTATCAGGTAATGTTGTTTAATTTTTTGATAAAAGGCTATTGACCAAGTGGATAATTTCAACAAATCTAAAATTTGTGAAGAGGAAGAGGAAAATAAGTGGGATTCAAGTCTCGAGCAGCCTTAGATAAGTCCTTCTCCTTTCTGGGCCACAGTCTCCCTAGACTTTTAAACAAAGAGGTGAAAATGATGACATCTAAGCTCTCCTGCCTCTTTGATGTCTGTGATATTTCCAATATGGTTGTGTCACTATTGAGTAGACATCAGAATGAAGGAGGAAGACATGAGTCTACAAATATTTTGTTAGGACTTCCTGTGGATTTGAATGGCAGGACCTGAGTCACACTGTTGTCAACAAAGATAAAAAATAGGAAGCAAGAAGTGTATTTGAACTGGAATGTTTGTGACAGGGAGGACTTCAGGCACACTTGGATCAAGGCACTAAAACAATGCATTGTCTCATCCCCCCTTTTTTTTCCCCCATTTATTTTTATTAGTTGGAGGCTAGTTGCTTTACAATATTGTAGTAGTTTTTGCCATACATTGACATGAATCAGCCATGGATTTACATGTATTCCCCATCCCGACCCCCTCCCACCTCCCTCTCCACCCGATCCCTCTGGGTCTTCCCAGTGCACCAGCCCTGAGCACTTGTCTCATGCATCCAACCTGGGCTGGTGATCTGTTTCATGCTTGATAATATACATGTTTCGATGCTGTTCTCTTGAAACATCCCACCCTCGCCTTCTCCCACAGAGTCCAAAAGTCTGTTCTGTACATCTGTGTCCCTTTTTCTGTTTTGCATATAGGGTTTTCTTTACCATCTTTCTAAATTCCATATATATGTGTTAGTATACTGTAATGGTCTTTATCTTTCTGGCTTACTTCGCTCTGTATAATGGGCTCCAGTTTCATCCATCTCATTAGAACTGATTCAGATGAATTCTTTTTAATGGCTGAGTAATATTCCATGGTGTATATGTACCATAGCTTCCTTATCCATTCGGCTGCTGTGTCTCATCCCCTTTTATAGCTTCATTTTCTAGTGAATTTTGCCATGTAATTGTGTCTAAATTCTATCTTTGAGGACAAAGTAGACCCAGGAAACTTGTGAAGACCTAAAGCCTGCTTGTAAGTCATGAGATCTAGCCAAGGATTTTTCAATTTCTTTTACATTTTCAAAGGACTGATGTAGTTTGATTAATATTTTGGTTAATATTTTCTCTTATTTTTATCTTCTTTATGTCATTTACTCCTGCAAAATCTTTATTGTATTCTTTCAATGGTAACTTAGGGCTTAGTTTATTTTTCTTTTTTTAGTCCCTTAAGATATAGAGTTAGGTTGTTCATTTGGGTTTTTCTTGCTTCTTAATGTAGGCATTTAATGCTATTCTTTCTCATTTTAGGTTCTAAACTAATGAGTACTAGCAATGTAATGCATAACATGATGCCTATAACTAACAGTGATGTATGATATACAAGAACATTGTTAAGACAGCAAATCTTAAGAGTTCACATCAGAAGGAAAAAGTGTCATTCTTTTTCATTATTTTTTACTGTATCTATATGAGAAGATGAATGCTAGCTTAACCCATTGTCATAGTCATTTCATAATACACAGAATCAAAATTGCTTTTAGCTTATACAGTGAGAATATCAATTATTCTCACTAAAAATGTGGGGGAGAGGAGTTTAAAAAAAAGAGTGTAAACCGTAATCATGAAAGCTAACATTTCCTGAACCCTCTGTCTGTATGAGACAATAAAGAAAAGGTAGCCTGGATAGAACTGCCAGCTAGAAAATATGGTCTCTTTTTGGGGGAAACATTGAGGAGTGGCCCCCACTTAGCAGGAGACAGCTCCTGAAGGGTCTGGAGGGCTGGGGGGGATTGAAAAGCTGGAGGGCGAAAAGGAAAGATGTTCCAGGTGTTGTAACAGCCTGAACAGAGGCTCAGCACTGACCCAGGTGGGTTACTGCCCAAGAGAAGTCCTGAATCATGCGCCCTCCCTGTGTACTTGTGTGGGACTTGGGACTGTCACAAAATACAGATGGAGAGGAAAACTCTCATCCCTTTGCTATGGCCAGCAGGGGAAGAACCAGAACTGGAGGAGACTGACTTCACATGAAATCTCACTTTGCCTCTGGCCAGCTGTGTGGCCCTGGAGACGCCACTTCCCCTCTCTGAGACTCAGTTGCCACGCCTATGCCAAGATCCTTCACTGCATCACTCAGTATAAACAAGAATTGAGTAAGATACAATGTATAAAGATTGAATATGGGATTTCTCACACTGTTTGACAGTAATTCCAGTGTGTAGAGGCTGACATTCATCTTGTGCTCACCAGTGTCAGACTCTGCTTAAGCATTTTCCATTCATTGACTCATTTAATCGTCACAACCTTACAATTGGGAGGTTTTGCTGTTAACTCCCCTGGGCAGTGAGAGAACTGTGGTTCTAGTAAGTTGTCTGAGATCACACAGCTGGCAAACGGCAGAGGCCAAGTCAAGCTCAGCTCTGTCCAACTCCTCACCTCACCTGTATCAGGAGCCCCGGCATGGCCTGAACTGAGAGGTCCTCTTTGGAGAGCTCAGGAGAGGGGGTCCAAGGCCCCCAGTTGCCCCAGGGGCTCGAAAGGCCTCCTAGATGACTTGGCTCTGAGAGGCAGCCTTCATCCGGCAGAAGGCCCATAAGTGAAGCAGCCGCTGGTGCAGGCCTCTGTGTGGCCCTGGTCTCACTTAGCCCGGGTCTCCCATGAGGACGGCAGTGTTTCTTCCCTCACAGAATTGCACACAGCACTGAGATGGCTCCTCAGCAAATAGGCAAAGCTTCCCTGGGCTTCTTGTCAGGAAACTCAGATGCCCTCGTGGAAAAGAGAGGCCTGGGGACCCTGAGGTGACAGCCTGAGTGATAGCTCTGCAGAGGTGACGCAGCTGTGAGTAAGGGGTCTCTGCTCCCCACTCCCAGGCAAACGAGGAAACTGAGGGCTTGCATGTTGAGGAGATAGAAGGGCCACAAGAGGAACCCCATCAGCCCTGGGAAGAAGAGACCAAGGCCAGGACAGTGGGACCTGCAGGGGCTGGGGAGAGGCGGCTGAGTATGGGAGCCAGGATGTCACCTCTCTGAGCAAGCGATCCCATAGCCATGGGTTTAAATCCTAATCCTGCCATTTGCTATGCTGTAACCTTAACGAGTCACTTGTCCTCTTTGAGTCTGTTTTCTAATCTGTCCAATGGGGACAAGAGCAGTGTCTCCTGGCAGAAGATAGCTGTCAGGAAGTCATGAGATTAGGTGTACTGGTGAAGACAACTCTCCATCAGGAGAGAGTCAGCAGAAGCATAGTGAGGTTGTTGCTGTGTGACCTCAGATCACTTTCTTGCCCATCCTGGGCCTCGTGTTCCCATTTGTAAGAAAATAAGTTGCAGCTAGATAATCCCGAAAGTCCCTTCCAACTTCAGATCCGGTTCTCCACTGCCCCGATTGCTCATATCTTGCCATACCTGAAATCTCAATGGAAGGAATGCAAGAGACCACACAGGAAGTGCAGAAATGGCTTTTTATTGCTAGAGCAGAGGGTGCTGAGTGCAGGGTGTCCTGATTATGAGGAGGGCTCTCTGAGAGTGCCCTTGACTGGGCTCAGTTGTCCCTCCTGATGGATGCTGGCAGCCCCGACCGTCCCAGAGGGAGACGGTTCAGAGATTCGGTCAAGATTCAATCTGGAAGGAGACCCCAGTGTGAGGCATGGACACCCCGAGGCCCTTACCGGCTCCTGCATTCACCAGACATAGTGGCAGGAGTGCTTCCCCACAAACCCTGAGGCTCTGAGGCTTGGGGACGGACTGGCACCTGTGATTTGGGGTCTTTCTCTGGCACCTGGCACTGACCCCTCCTCATCCCCTCACTCTCCCACCCCCTCACCTTAGCAACAATGGCCAATGTGAAAAGACTGATCAGGGCCCAGAGGAGACAGGGTTCAGGGCTCAGTGTATGATCAGGATCAGGGATCAGACTGAGATGCAGGTCAGGTTCTAAATGTGACCAGCGTCAAGGCTCAGTCAATGACTGGAGTCAAAGCTCAGCCTGACTGTTCCAGGCTCAGTCAGGGAGCAGAATCAAGTGCCGTCTGGGTGTGTGATTAAGGGTCAGGACTCAGTCCATGACCAAGATCAGGGCTCAGTCTTCCACTAGAGAAAGAAGAGAAGCCAAGCTTGTTTCCGCTTCTCCATGGGCCCCTGTGGGGAATCTCATCCTCCCTCATCCCGTGGCCCCGAGCCCGGTCCTCACCAGCAGGCGGGCATCGCAGCAGTTTTCCTCATCTGTGCTCTTCACGGTTCCTGTTGGGCTTCCCAAAGTTCACCTGAAAGAAGAAATCAGTAGCAGTTTTCAGCCTCCAGCTCTGGAAAGCTGAATAGAAATCAGACACCAGTGGTTCCCAGCATCCAGATGGTCAGACTGACAGGCATGGGACCACACACATGCCACTCCATGTCTCTGAGCCTCAGTTAGATGACCTGCAAAATGGGCATGATGACACTGCCCACCCCCACAGGATTGTTGCAGGGGTCCAGTGAAGTGGTGAACAGGAAGCACAGAGTGATCACCCAAGAACTGGGCCTGTGGCTGTTTTCTAGAAGGATTGCATTCAGGACCCTGACCTGTCACTCACCCCATTTCTGTTACCCCACAGCCCCAGCAGCCTCAGTCCTGCCAGAGACCCATGTCAAGGAAAGCCACCAGTGGCTGGAGGTAAACCCATAGCTCCTCATAAGAGGGGAAATGGAAGGGATGGTGTTTATCGTCAATGCCTACTGGATATTAGGCTTTTTCTGCTTTTTCTTTAAATCCACTCATCAGCTCAGCAGTGTTTATAATATCATTTCACCTGTGAGGAATCCCAGGCGCAGGGAAGTGGAGCCAATTGACCCCCACCCCATAGTGGTTGAGTAGCAGATCCAGGATTTGAACCCAGATCTGGCCTGTCTTTCTCACATCATTCTGGGCAGCAGGTTCTACCGGTTTGACAAGAGGGCAGCAGAAGCTCTCAGAGGCCCACAGAGGCCTTCAGGCTGTGGGGACCCTTCTGTCCACAGTGTCCAGACTTGCTCAAGACAAAGGGTCCTCAGCTTCTTCAGGGATCCCTGACCGGACCTGCCAGTGCTCCAGGCACAGAGCAGACTGTGCCCCGCTGTGAGGCTGCAGAGGGAGCCCCCTCCCCGCTTCCCCAGGCTGTGACTTACTGATGACTTTGTTAAGACAATCCACATCCAGGCTTTCAAGGAGTTCGCAGAATCGTGGGCACAGCTGAGGGTCACACAGATCCAGGGAAAGAGAGAGAGATGCAGAGAGAGAACTGGAAAGAGGGAAGGAAAGAAAGAGGTCAGGAGCTGAGGAGGGAGAGGAGAGAGGGGAGAAGGAAGAGGCCTGGTTATTACCCGCCGTCAGCACCCTGCCCCCCACCCACAGAGATGCTCAGTACTGGGGTCCCCAGAACTTCCGATCCTTAGGGTTCTAGAACAGAGGAAACCTAGCAGGCCCAAATCTGAGAACCAGAGGACACTAGAACCCTAAAACCTCAGAGTATTAGAATCCTAGAACCTTAAAGAATCTAGATTTTTTACATTCCAGGACCCTATGCCCTTAAACACCTTGACCTCTGGACTCTGAAGCTTTATAGAGTTAAATAGGGCCCTGGGAACCATAGAGAAATGGTTTTGTGTTTTTCACAATTTTGTGTGCCTACAATTCCCTGAGGATATGCTAAAAGGCAAGTTGTTGAGTGGCAGGTCGAGGGTAGGACCTAAGAGTCTGCATTTCTAACATGTGTCCATGGGAGGTCAGTGCTGCATATCTGAAGAACACACTTAGAGAATGACTCAAGTTCAGTAAATCACAGAACAACATAGAGGATCTTTTTTTTTTAATAAATCTAGATTTCCAGCCCCTTTCCCGAGTGACTAATATAGAATCTTTGGAATTTTGTGCACATGGTACATAGGGTATTTTTATGTGATACACTTGAATCTGAACTATAGTATGTATAGTTTTTGTATTTAAATGAATTAAGTTTGTGTTGAATGAAGAAAAATATTAGCTAAAAGTCCTGCTGGCAGTCTATGCATATGGTAAATGGATCAAGCGCGGGACCCAGTGATTTCAACTCAGGTCAGTTTCCTGCTCACCTCCTCCCCAGGTCAGGCTGACTGAAAGGGGACAGGTAACAACTCATAGCCCCACAGAAAGGAAGGTGTCCAGAGAGTACAACCTACCCAGGGCAAGTCACCCCTGCCCCCACCTGGCCTGGCTCTGCATGCCCAGGTGTGGGGGACTCACCTCGTAGTGTGTTACAAGGGACAGCACTTCATGCACGAGGTTGATTGCAAAGTCCGTAACCTCACTGAGCAGTCCAATGCGCCTGGAGAAGAGATGAAACTGATAAATCGTGATGAAGTTGGCTCAGCAGGCAAGCAGGAGCAGTGGGAAGAGGGCAGAAGATGGTGGAGCTCCTTGAAGTCAGGGGACTAGAGCCTCTACCCAGGGTTATCATAACTTAGAAACCCATGGTTGACCAGCAGCCCACACCAATAGCTCATGTGAGTCTCTTGACAACCCTGAGACCTCATCCATTCATTCATTCATCCATCCTTCCATCCATCCATCTCTAGTCATCCATTCATTCATTTGTCAACACATATTTAGAGAACACCAACTATGTGTCCAGAACCAAGGCCGACTGGGGACACAGTGATAAACAAAACACAAGCGATTCCTAACACGGTACCTAGGACATTGGCTAAATATTGGCTAAAAGGTTCATTCGGAGTTTTCTGTAACAGCTTATGGGAAAACCACAAAGACTTTTTGGCCAACCCAATATTATCCTGTTTTCCTAAGGCTGGCTCCTTCCCACCTTCAGCTCTCGGTGTAACTGTCACCCTCTCCGGCAGCCCTCAAGACTGCTTGCCTAAGGGAGGGTTTGGTGTCATAGCACCTTATTAGGTGTGCTGTTCTGCTCAGGGATGATTGCAATTCAACAATTTCCTTGTGGGCTCTTTACTTCTGGACTGAATGTTCACCTGTCTGTTTTTCCCTCCAGAGACTAAGCTCCATGAGAACAAGCTCCTTGCCCTCATTCACCAGTAAATTCTCCAGAGTTTAGAATGGTGGCTGTGGCATGGAGCAGATGCTCAAGACATTTTTGGCTGAAGGAATAAATGAAGTAAACATGCGATCGAATATACAATGATAACTTGTGACAAGTATTCAGAAGGAGGAGAGTAGAATCTTAAGAGAGAGAAGAGGCAGAACCTTGTTTTAGTCCCTAAATTACAAGACAAACATGGAAATGGGATGCAGGAAAGGTGTCCTAGGTGCCTGAACAGCCCGTGCACAGGTCTTGAGTGGAAGGAGTTTCCCTGAAACACAGAGCAAAAGCTAGCAGGTCTAGGGCAGAATGGGCAAGGTGTGTATCTAGATCAGGTGAGCTAGATGGCCCTGGGAGGGCCTGAGATTCCACCCAAAGTGGAGAGAAAAGCCCCCAAAGGGTTTGGAACAGCAGAGTG